AGTAATCATAGAGAAGATATAGCTTTTGCTTGCCAAAATCTGTATGTATTATACAAGAAAGATCTAAAATTGCCCTTTATAATGAACCTAAGCAGAACTATTTGGTCTTCATCAAAACTTGAAAGGAAGACAGCTGTCTTGTGGAGATTCTGAAAACATGAAAATTCCTCTTTAAAACAGACTTGAAATGTTTCAGCACATAAAATTCAACTAGCATACTGAATATCTTCTGTTTAAGATAGCTAAGATCTTTGTAAGGTTAAGATGACTCCTCTGAAGATCTCTGGTGAATATTTGGAAATAAAACTGTGTCTTTTGAATATTTTTTAAATGCTTTCATAAACTTCAGTTTTAGGATTCTTTCAGGATGTAGATTTCCATAGGTTTTCTTCAAGCTAATGTAGAAGGAAATTATCTTGGTTGTAGACCTTCAAATATTTAGATAAATACATTTATCTTCGTGAGCATTTTCACATTACTTTCTAAGTACACAAATCAGGTTGTCAGGAAGTTTATAATTTTAGAAGAATAATGTCTGGTTTAAAATAGTAAATCTGAATCACAACAAAGCAGGCTCCTTGGAAATATACGTTCCCCTGGAAACTTAAGAATCTACAGGTTATTCTCATCACGTGCCATCTCCCTGATAAGATGGTACAAGCATTTACGTGTCAATCTTTGCCTTCCCTTGAAACTTGTTTTCCTTAGGGACGAAACTGAAGGACGAGTTTTCAATCTTTGTAGGCAACCTGTGCTTTCTCTTCTCATAGTGAAACTTTCTGGCCGGGCTAATTCTATTCAATTTAAAGCAGCAAACGTGGAAATGCCTGGTGTGGTATGGTGTGGTCATGTTGGCCTTCTCTGGAACAAATGCTTTCTTCATATTTATTAAATAAAATTAAACTGAAATGAATTTTGAATCAACATTTCAAGCCTTCCTTATAATTAAAATACAGAAGCATAAAAACTACAGGCTCTAAAATCTTAACTGATAAATATAAATACTAAAAATGTTATATAAAATCTTGAGTGCATTATTACCAAAACAGAATATTCAGGAAATATATCATTGAGGAAAACACATACATCATATTTGCCAAAAATATATGCCAAATAATATAACTATTTGCCAAAATGAAGTAATTCTAAAGAAATCAAAAATCAAGAAAATAAATAATTTTTTTTATGACACTCACCAATCATAATTGAAGACTCACAGTGATAGTAACCATTGCTTTGTTTTTTCTTCACCATGGAACACAGATCTATACGATATAACATTTCTTCTCCAAATCTGTGACTGATAAATTTTTCATAGAGTTCAGGATCTATTTTTTTCACTCCCTTGAAACGAAAAAACAAAATTGCATCAATGAATCATTTCACCCAGAACCACTTCCCAGTTCATACTTATATCACTTTCTTAAAACCCGATATTACATCGTGATATACAATACTGCCTACTGGCACTTGAAAATGCATACCACAAAACTGTTGTAAAGTTGTTTTTGAAAGAAACCAACATTAAAGAGTCGGGTTTGATGCTGGCAGCATTCATATCTTAATATACTTGAAGCTTCAGAAATAATAAAGTACATCAGGTAGAAATGTAACGTATCAAAGAAAGAGTAATCATCTCCAACAACAATGCACCTATGAGTGAATTAAAAAACAAAAAAAGGGATGTGGATCCTAACATTTTAGAGCGGGAAAAAAATGTTCTAACAAGATGGATGCAATTTTCAAACTCCTCATGTAAGAATAACACTGGAGGAGAATTAAAAGTTACATGAATTGGGGACGGGGGAGGTCAGTAAATCTCCCCAATTCTTCACCTGTCATCCTTATTCTCCATGTACTGTCATAGCAGGAACAA